TCAGACTGCTCCAATCCACTCCTTATTATGCCCAGGCCAATGGACAGACAGAATCAAGCAACGAAGTGATCATCAACATTATCAGGAAAATGCTTGAGAAGAATCCGAAACAATGGCATGAGAAGCTGTCAGAAACTCTGTGGGCATATAGAACTTCAAAAAGAGAAGCGACTGGCATGACTCCCTATGCGTTAACCTACGGTCATGATGCAATTCTGCCTATGGAGATAGCTGTTCAGTCCCTCAGAATTGCTCACCAACATGACTTAGAAGGAGAAAACTACTCCCAGGCTATGCTGCTGGAACTGGAAGGATTGGATGCAGGCAGAATAGACACTCTCAACAAACTCCTGGCAGGAAAACAGGCTGTATCAAGGGCCTACAACAAGAGAGTCAGGGACAAGAGTTTTGAAGAAGGGGAGATAGTCTGGAAGGCAGTTCTGCCCCTCGGAACCCATGTGGCTGGTTATGGAAAATGGTCGCCTACATGGGAAGGCCCTTTCATAATCAACCAGATCCTCGGAATGGGGGCATACAGGTTGCAGGATAGGGATGGAGAAGTTCATACGGCCCCAATCAATGGCAAATGGTTAAAAAAGTTTTATCCAACCATGTGGGATGCGCAGGCTGTACAAACAGACCCCGGGATAGACACAAGATTACACTAGAAATCTTTTGGTTCCTTTCAAAATTACCCTTGTTTCTACTTCTGTCTTTTAAGTTTGTCCCTTTTTTGTTGTACTTCCACTTCTGTCTTTAAAGTTTGTCCTTTGTTTCTACTTCTGTCCTTAAGTTTGTCCTTTGTTTCTACTTCTGTCCTTAAGTTTGTCCTTTGTTTCTACTTCTGTCTTTAAGTTTGTCCCTTTGTTTCTACTTCTGTCTTTGAGTTTGTCCATTTGTTGTACTTCTACTTCTGTTTTCCGTTAACAGGGGAATTTACCACACGCCAATTTAATGGCCATGTCATTTAAGTCTGAAACCGTTCCAAAAACAATTCAAACTTAAGGGGGCATTGTTTGGGCCAAAAATTGACACATCCAGCCCAAGGCCCATCAGAACAAACAAAGCTGAGTTGGGCCTCACAGGCCCAACATAAATAGGAAGAGGGAG